CTCTCTCTCTCTGTCTCTCTCTCTCTCTCTCTCTCTCTCTCTCTCTCTCCATCTCTCTCCACACGCAAACTCTGTCTCTCTTCTTCTTCTCCTCCTTCTTCTTCTTCGGGGCTTGAGGGGAGCGGACCCCCCCCTCACGTGCGAGGGGCGCCCAGATCCAGCATCCGTTGTGACAGCTCTGTCTCTCTCGTCGTCTTCTTCTTCTCCTCCTTCTTCTTTTTCTTCTGCAGGGCATGGGGGGCCCCAGGGGACCCCTCTCGCCGAGGCGCTCCCAGTCCTCTCTCTCTCTCTCTCCCTCTCTCTCTGTCTCTCTCTCTCTCTCTCTCTCTCCTGCACGCTTAGCCCCCCCCGAAGGGAAGGCTGCCCCTAAGGGCGCGCGAAGTCCACGGGTCCGTTAGTTCTCTCTCTCTCTCTCTCCCTCTCTCTCTCCCCCACGCATGACCCCCCGAAGGGAGGACGCCCCCAGGGGCGCGTGTCGTCCGAGGTTTGTGATGACGCCCCTCCCATTTTGAGAGTGCGTTCTGGGCTCGTTGGCCCCCAAAGGTGGGGTTCGGTCGACAAGGCAAGACATGGCCTCCCCCCTCTGTACCTTTGGTGTTTTCACTATGCCGAGATGGGTATGGCCCAGTCTCTCTTTCTCGCTCTTCTCTCGCCCCAGTTGTGTCCAGTGCCTGGAGGAAGACGGAGCGTCTCTCCCGACTCCTCAGTTCATGTTGATTCCCAATGTTCGCAGAGTCTTGCAAGTGCGCCGGAATGTCAAGACATTTTCCACACGAAAATTGCCAGTCACAGGACGCAGAGGGGTCCCGGAGCCTTGAGCATGACTGGCCACTGGATTTAATTACTCTGACACTGGTTACACCATGTTACACCGGTTGCTATGGACACTGCTGGACAGCAGTCGCGTGCGCAAAGAGCAGGCCTGCTCGTCTGCTTGCAAGCTTCGTGCTCTCCGGGGATTCTGAAACGGCGCAGCGCGAGTGCTTGAAACCAGCTATTGGTAGGCAGGCTCCACCGATCTAGCATTCGATACAATTCGCTTGATGTTGTTTACCAGTCCAATTCGTTTTCGCTGTGAGATATTGTGGGCAAAGCCTGCCGCAGCCACTTGGCTGAACGTTCGCTCGAAAATACTTGAAATGACCTGAAGGCTCTCAGAAGCTTTCGCCGGAGGGAGCCACGGCGGGCGAAGCTGAACTCGAGCTCGACGGCTCCGTGCTTGTGCCATTCTCGGCCCTTGCCTCTTCCCCAGCCTGTGCTGTCTGTTCAGGCTTCGCTTTCTTGGCCTCGTTGGCATCTTGCCCAGGCCGAGGCCGCCGACGCACCGGCGGCGGCTCGGCGGGCCGCGCAGCCTTGCCTGGCACACGACACACGCCACTTCTGAACTTCAAAAGAAAAATCCGGAAGGGATGAGACAGGGATGGAGACGAGGTGTGAGACATGAGTACATTACGAGTGCGGAGGATCCTAAACCGGCCCTACACTAGCCTCGGGACTTTGCGGCGGGCCCCTCTTCGGACGCCGGCTCCGCCTCGCCCGGCTGCGTGCCCGGCTGCGTGTTGGCACGGCTCGCCATGCTCGCCACGCTCGGAGCCCGACTGCTGCCCTCTCCGGCTCTCTCACTGCTCCGCTCTTTCCTCTTTTCCGCGTCCCCTTCTTCTTTTGCTTCGTCTAACTGCACCGCCTGCTCGCAGTGTTCCTGCGATTTCTGCCCCCGGCCCTCGGTTGTCTCGTCCTTTGCCTGACTCGCTTTCAAGGAGCCTGGAAGCTCGCTCTCAGCGTTCGTTGTCTTGGAAGTCTTCCTCATCCAGCCAGAATCAGCAAAGGAGCGGAGAGCAACTCTGCGCTCATCCTCCTCAGAAAGCTCCTCCTCCAAATCGAAGGGCACTCGGTGGCGCTCCATGAGATTTCGAAGCAGCGGCAACTCCAGTTTCTCCAGATCACGCAAGTCGTAGCAATGCTGCTTCTCTGCCATCGCCGCTGACACTTCGGGTGCCACCTCCACATCTGGAGTGGCCTCCAAGTGGCGCACAAGGTCCGCTCTTTCCAGGCAGCCTAGGCTGCAACATGGCTGCAACACTCTGATCTATACGGCAACAGTCTGAACCGGAAACTCCTCCCACCTTCACCGGAGACGCCCAGTGCGTCCATAAGCCTGGGCGAGTTGGAGCGCAGTGCATCAGACTGCCAAGCATTGACCCAATTGCGCGCCTCCGAAGCTCGGAGATCCGGAGCATTCTTAACTCGGCTGCGCGAAGGCGCACCGTGCGGCCGGACATCCGGGTCTTCCCTGGGGCAAACTTGGAATGCAGAGCGGCATTAAACAAGTGGGAACCCGATAGGAACTCAAGAGATAAACCGAGAAGCATGGCAACGGACTACCCTAAACACACCGACCGGTCACCTCATGCGAAGACAAAGCCAGAGCTCCGAAACCCAAATAAGGACATTTGTCCGGGCCCCTCCGCATGTAGACCAAACAATCCTTTGCATCTACAGGGCTCCTTCCACGTGGGCACAGCCATGTTGCCAAATTTGCTGACAGACGACGGGGCTACTTGTTAGCTCAAGGGCAGCCTGGGGCAGGTGGTTCATGTTAACGGACGACCCTTCCGTAGCGGGAGTTCCGCTTACGGAAGGCCGGTTCTTGTTACACAGGGCTCCCTAAAGCAGCTGGGTGCGGGGCGTCCGTTCTCGAAGTCTTCGCAGTCTGTTGCCAGCTCGTAGCGGCAGACCTTACTACCACTGGCAAACTGCGCCGCTTCAGGCGATGCCATGGAAACAAAGAGGAGTTTTGTGGATTGAGGCTTCTGAGGCTTCTGAGGCTTCTGAGGCTTCTCTTCTGCTTCTCTTCTGCTTCTCTTCTGCTTCTCTTCTGCTTCTCTTCTGCTTCTCTTCTGGCAGCGTGGCGGGGCAGCTGTTGGCCTCCCGCAGCCATTCCCGAATGCAGGCGGTGCAGAAGAGGTGGCCGCAGAGCATCCTGAGAGTCCGAGAGAAAACAACGCGAGAAAAAGGCGCGAAAGAGGTGCCCCCGGCACATCCCGGGCACATCCCTGGCACCTGGTGGCACGAACGCCGGGCCGGTAGTCCTGGCGTGTGGCACTGCAAGGCCAACTTGCTTGAAAAACCGCCCCCAAAAGAAGCAGAGCAAAGCAAAAAAAACATAAAGCTCTTGACGCAGGTCAGGCATGGCCGTGACATGGCCTCTAAGCAAACGGAGCATTTGGAGTTGGTGGCATCCAGCAAATCCTCCTTCAGAGCGTGCAGAACAAACACCCTTTTCTGCACATGCCCAAACTCTCGTCCCAACCCTCGTATCCCGCGGCTGTGCCATGCTGAGCCATGCTAGGCCGAGGTCCTTCGTCACGACGACACGAGGAAGTGCATCTCGTACTCGCTCGCTGGCTGGTGGAACTTTGGGGCCAGATTCTTCCATGCTGCGCTGCATGGCGATCTGCGCCATCTGCTCCATCATCATGCGCATGATGCCGCCTGTAGGACAATGATAAACCACGGCGTGCAGCCAGTTCATACGAGAAAGAGTGTGTACCGTCTCACATGTTGGTGCCTAGGGCGTCAGCTGCAGCATCCTCCTTACAGAGCCCAACCCTCATTGTATCTTTGTCTGAGACAGTGATTTGAGTCGGATGTCCTCGGCTACGGCAGCGACCGGCACGCGGGAGACCTGGCCGCCCAGGCTCTGCAACAGGCCCAATGGCAGTGGGAAGCCCGGCTCTGATCCTGGCAAAGATTGAAAATGACAGAGTTCAAGGGAAGTTGACACGATTGACATATGCTTGTAATATGCTGCCAGAACCGATTTTGACAAAAGGTCACGCCGGAAGCCCAAAAAAACCCACAAACACGTGCGCAATCCCACGCCCGTGCCCGCGCCAGACTCGTGACGTGCCCCACCACCCCCGCCATCCCCCGCCCCATGGCGTCCCACACGTGCTCCACTAACCAGGGCATCTGTCCGGTGGCATCTCGTCCCGTGCCATCCAGTGACCTCCTGTCCCCGTTCCGTGGCATCCTGCCCAATTGTGTCCCATTGTGGAAAACAAACAGCGCAGGTCGCCCATCATCACTTGTTCGTTCGTTTGATTGCCACTCGATGTTTTCAACTCTCCTTTCTAATTAGAACACTTTGAAAGCTCTCTCTCTCTCTCTCTCAGCACGAGCAGGGGCGGGCCGCTGGGCGTAACCGCCGCCCCCACGAGCCCACGGCCGGGCAGCGTCAGCAGCGTGATGGTCCCGCCGCGCTCGACACGCTCCGATGGGCCACGGGCCAAGCCGAGCAAAGCGGCCAGGGACGCGGGAAGGTCCGCCATGTTTTAACGAATGTCACACAAATGTGAGTAATGTAAGAGAGAATCTAAGGTTTGGGATCTCGATGCCTCGGAGTCTTGGCCATGGGCAATTGTGTGCGGTTACCTTGCTGTTGGCATGTTGAGCTTGACTGGCCTAGGGCCTAGGAAGTAAAACCGTTTTTCTTTGAACATTCTCGACCGAACTTCCTGGGCTCTGCAGCATCTATACTCTCCCTGAGCGAGATGCACAACGATGCACAGCATTGCACAGTGTTGCACAGCGTTGCACAGCATTGGACTTCAGCCGAGGCCCATGTATGTCAGCAGGAAGGTGTGGGAACCTGTCGGCGTATAAGGGCCCGGCGGGAGGCCTGCGAGCACTGCCGTCCATCGCCGTGTCCTTGGAGCCATCAATGCCCAACAGAAGGCTCACAAGGGCCGGGCCCAGATGATCCCACGTGTATCAGAGGCTCAGCCCTTGAGTGAGTGCTTTGCGCAGGTCTGAGCCCCAAACGCTGGAAGCCTCCATATCATGTCTACCAATTCTACCGAGCCCGGAAGATGCAGCGGCACCGACCATACCAGCACAACGTTGCAAATTCTCAACATTGCACAGCTTTGGAATGTTCCACATTCGGCCCTGTACGCTGCATGCTCTGCCCATCTATGCCCCAAACTTCCCAAATGGGCCTGCTCACGGCGTTTCTTCTCAACGGCCATCTTTGCCTTTTGCTCTGCCTCGCTCGGCGATGGAATGGGTAGCGTAGGTGGCGATGAACATAAAATGTCGGACGCGGCGCGCGGGCTTCAGCACGCACAGGCCATGACCTCTTCCTGCTGCTGCTTGCGCTTTAGCTCCTTCATCTTCTCCGCAGGTTTCCAGCCTGGCCGGTGAAGTGCACCAAGCAGGACAGCCAATGCACCGCACCGTCAACCAGGAAGCGAACCGACAGCGTACGAACCGATTCAACCAGTTTTTCAAGGCTTCGTTTGCATGTTTGCTATGTTTGCATGGTTTGGACAAAAAGCTATCCGTGGTGCAAAACGAGGTCCCCCAGCTGCCACTCCCCACCGCCTCAAAATCGAAATGCCCCCCCAAAAACAATGAGAATATTCGGGGGGGGAATCGGCTTGGGAACACCTGGCCGCGCTCATCCTCAAGCAACCCCCTATACTGCTACAGCAACGCACCCGTTCCGCATACTTCGGCATTCTGACCTCGCACACCAAATCGACTATCCAGGCGGCTCAAGCCGGGGCTCCCGGTTTGAGGTAAAATGGCCACTGTCACTGCCTCTCTGCCTTTGATCTGCCCTCATCTGTCCAACTCCGTCCCTCACTCTTGTGCACGGGTTTTCTTGGCCTAGAGGCCGCACATCCAGCACCAATGGCCGGCTCTTCAGGAAGTGCATCACCTCCAGTGGCTCTTGTGGCTGGAGGCAGGGTGTGGCAGGAGCGCACTACACTAGACTCTACAGTTTTGGGGCGGTCCCCCGCCCGCTGCTGGTTCTGCTGGACCAGCGCCAGCCCGTTGAGAGCATGGACCTCTCTTTCCGACTTCACTTCGGATCCGCTCGAGAATGGCAGAAGAGGCCGAAGAAGGCCTCATGGTTCACGGGGACTCCCTTCTTGCTGGCGAAGGAGTCAGGGGCCACCTGAGAATGGCCGTGGGTGTGAGAATGTTGTTTTGGCGAGCCAAGTCCAACCCCATCCAGGCTCCAGCAGACAAGATCATCGGCGGAGATCCGCCGGAGAATCGAAGGCCCAGTGGTCCCTGAAGTGAAAGGTGAGGAAAAGTGAGAATGAGTAGCAGGAAAAAACCATGCCCCACTAAGGCACCTCTTCCTCCGGTGTGAACTCGAACCGCAAGATGCCTTCCTACCAGGGATGTGACGTGCGGCGACTGGCAGCTAGCACAGATGCCTAGGATGCACGGATGCAATTAATGCAATTAATGCAATTAATGCAACACATCCTTTCTCAGCAGCCGAACTTGTGAGTCTACATGCTGGAGTGTAAATTGCCGTTCGTTTTTCATAGCAATGCTGAGATCCGAAATGAACTGATGCCGATCATGCTGCCACCTTAGCCACACATGGACTCTGCCTCCACAGGCGGCAGCGCATCTAGGTTGACAGGAGGAGGCTCAAATTCGGGCACCTGCCCACTGACCAGCTGTTCAGAAAATCACAGCGAACGGGAAGGAAAAGCGCCTTTGACTCCTTGGACGTGGCGGCAAGCTCTGCCTGACCAATGAACTCCGATTGGCCCAGAACACCTGCATTTGAAGGATGGCGTGCCTGACCGTCTTTTGCCGTCCTCGGCCCAAGTGTGCAGCAACAAGCGAGGCGAACGCGACTCAGATTCTACGAGATGAAAAATGGTAAAGGCAGCACAGGCACGAAAACAACCGACTTTCTTTCGACATGCACGTTGTGTCACGTTCACATCTTGCAGACCAAGGCTCTGGGTCTCCTCCTCCTCACTGCTGCTGTCGCTGCTGCTCGACTCTTTCTTTGCCTGCCGGCTGTGGATCACATATTACAAGCAGTCGACCGCATGCCAGGCTGCCTTCTTCTTTTTCTTGTCCTTCTTTTTCTTATCCTTTTTCTTCTTTTCCTGACATTCATGCAGGTGACGAGCGAAAGGAACGACCCCAGCTGGATCCTTGTCTTTCTTTTTCTTCTTCTTCTTATCGTCGCTGTCGCTGTCTTTCCGCTTCTTGCCCATGGCCACCTGAGACAACCCAACTCCCACTTGACCAGCAGCAACTCCCACTCTCACCACTCTCACCGCTCTCCCACATCTCCCACATCTCCCACATCTCCCACATCTGCCATCCGAAGTCTGTAAGATCCCAGCCGCAGGCCGAAAGCGTGGCTGGAGGATCTGAAGCCAAGGCAGCGGCGCAGGTTGCTCTCTCAGTGTCGTCTCAATCTCAATCCTTAGGGCCTGAGGAGCCTTGTCACCCCGGCCCAAACACAACTCGCGTGCCCTGCAAGGTATGAGCAGGAGTCGGGAACACAGCGAGGACTGGAACCATTTTTTCTCACTTTGACTCTGCTTGACCTTCTGCATCCAAGCCGATATGCTCCCGTCAGCTCCCAGGAGCCGCCGTCGCTTCCGGTGCGGATGCTGGGATGGCCGGTGCCTCTGAGGAAGTCCATATGAGAACGTATTTCAACAGATGAGAGCAAACAAGAGCAAACAAGAGCAAACAAAAGCACCAAAAATTATTGGACGAAAGGATGAGAAAGGATTGGGGCATGCAGCAGTCGTACCGAGTCGTACGCATGGCCTCTCCGAGCTTCAGCTTCTCCAAGTCTTTTTGGAGTTGCTGTGAACGTCGGTAGTAGTAGAAAGTCCCGCCGGCCTCGGAAACTCGAGGCCGGCCACAATTTTCCTTCCTATGGCCAGGCTTTAGCCGAGGTGCTGCCAGCAGGACTACCAAGACCATGCCCGCATACCTGGGGAATCGCGATGGATCATGGGTGCTTACACTTGTGCAGACATGTCTGGAATGCGGCCAGGGTGATCCAGGGCGCAAGGCATCAAATCGCTCTGCCTCCACCAATGCAGCAAAAGGCAGAAAAAAGCAGCGCACCAAGGCTCAGCGTAAAAAAAAAAGCCTGCTCAAGAATTCTAGAATTCTGCACAGAGATTGCTTAAGCAAAATTATGCAAGAAAGGCAACACACTGAAAGCAGAATCGAAAGGGGTCACAGTGCATTCAACGTCGCCTCCTCATCCTCCTCCGCGTCTTTGGCCTCGGCCTTCTTCTCGGCCTCCTCCTGAGCGGCCTCGCTGCTGTTCACCGGGAGGCCGGTCTCGCGGGCCACCTCAAAGGGATTCATTGTCGCAAGTTGCTCTTACTCTGTTTGCTTCTTCTCTTCTCAGTGCTCTTCTCTTTATGTTGGCTTCTTTCAAGCTGGGCAGCCATCGCTTCGATCCTCGGGTGGCTCTTGAAGGCAAACTGCTGCTTGACGTACGTATTGCCCCGGTGTGAGACCTACAAAGACCTACTGCGCTGGTCTGCAAGGTGCTCGAAGAACTTCTTCGTTTCCGCCTCGGCCTCCTGCACAAGCCAACTCCGAAGCCACAACTTCGAAGCCATTCGCAAGATGTTTGAGAAGAGGTTTGAGCCTTTCAGCTTGAGGGATCGGACAGGTCCGTAGAGCTTGAGTCACCATTGGTGCACAGACATGTGCACTCCTGATTCCTGATATTCCTGATTGTCGCAGCAAACTACAGGCAGCTGAGCCACCAGCTTGGATGACCCTTAGAACGTTCTCTCGAGGAAACGCTCTCTTCCCCTCTCCTGGATATTGCTCGGCCCGGGCCCTCCGGGCCCTCGGGCACTCGGAGCCAAGGACACCGAGGACGCCGGGGACGCCGGGGACGCCCGGACCGCCGGGCTCGGGCCCGAAAGGCCCGAAGGAACTGCAGCTGCCGCAGCAGCTGCAGAAGGAGCTGCCTCTGCAACAGTACTCTGCGGTTGAGGGACAGCGGTTTTGGAACATGAGAGAGAGCGAGAGAGAAGAACTCTCTCGCAAACTCTCTGAATGGTTGTTGGGAAATGAGTGCAGAACCAGCTCAAGTTCGAGGCAGAAAAACCCCAATCCCAAAAAACAAATCACCTCTTTCAGCTTTATCCATTCCGCAATCCTTTTGCCGCAACATGTCGGGGCCTGGTCCCACGCTGCCTGCGTTGGGAAGCCCCAGGAGTGGTGTCTCTGCCCGCTTGCCGCTGCGCTTCCCCAGCCCGAGCTCCAGCTCGGGCCCTGCAGCTCAGGCAGCTCAAGCAGCCCAAATCAGCTCAGGCAACTCGCCATGTGGACACCCCTATAAAAACCACTTCGAGCTGAGAGGCATATGAGGCATATCCGGAGGGTCTTGGGAACGCCGCCTTTGGCAATGCATTGCGGTGCATGTACAACTGAAGACCCGTAAATCCGAAGATGCACCAGGCACCTGCGCACTTGGCCGCCACTGGTCCTCCTCTCGCATCGAAGCCTGCAATAGGCAGAAAGCTTATATATCTGTGTACTGATGTGTACGATACTACGATATGTTGTTGTACATGTCCGGGACAGGCTCCTTCAGTTGTGGAAATCCGAGGCCTGTGACCGCATCCAGCGGGCATCCACATGTCCTGTGTGGGTGACTTCTGCCGATATCTGCGCCGCGTGCACAGGCTGCGCAGGCAGCCCGAGGAGCAGCAGCAGCTGCTTCATGGAGAGGGGATATGAAAAGCCTGAACTGTACTGGACAAACCAAACCAGTCATGTTTGGACTTGAGCTGACATATATCACATGATGAATAGTCAAAGCGGAGTGAACCAAACTGGTACCTGCCGGCAACTTGATCTGCATCCTGCAATTGCTGACGGCCTAAAGCATGCTTCGCGCTTGCCACCTTTTTGTCACTTCTTGCGTTCTTGACCAGCAAGCCATTGAGCAGCACGTCGCCCGCCTTCCATCCTGCGTAAAGTTGCCTGAAGGTGATTGCGAGGGGTTGGTGATGAGAAAGTGGCAGATGAACTAGGAGCTGCCAGAAAACAAAGCAAGCAGCAGGTAGCACAGCTTGATGCATGTGTCCTGTTCATGAAAGTACTTTTCCTAAGCTCGACCAGCCCGTTCGCGCTCACGTGCTGTCAGAATTTGATAGTCACTGATAGTCACTGATAGTCACTGATAGTCACTGATAGTCACTGATAGTCACTGATAGTCACTGATAGTCACTGATAGTCATTTCGTGTTTGGATCCAGAGCTGGCTGACCGGGCAAGGCTCACAAGAAGTGATGCCTCAATCCCTTCCATCCCCGAAAGCTTTGACCAACAAAATGTTCCGCGAACATGTCTTCACCTGGGCATGCGTGATTCGCGACTGCAGCAGATTCGAAGGGACTGAGTCAATTCGCCCACCAGTAAAGCTTCCATTCTTATTCACTTTGGCCACTTCAGCTGCGCGTGGCGTTGCGAACAAAACATCGATTGCATAGGTTCCATGCGGTCACAGCGGTGGCCTGCACAACCCTCGGCGAAGACATCAGGGATCAGAAAGCAAGTTTGCCGGTCAAAAAAGAAAAAGAGAGCCAAAGAGATTGGAATAAGAGGTTTAATGGGGGGGGATACGTTGCTTCTTCTTTCAGAATGTGAATTCAGCAGCCTGGATTGCCTCTGGAGGAGACCTTTCCTCTGGGGCCCTCTGTGCGGCCCTCTGAGGCTCCAGGCGGCAGGCGTTTTCTGAGCTTGCACTGCGCACACTGGGGCTCCGCTGCCAGGGCGCTGCAGGAACGCCGCAAACAAAACCCCCCCCGGCCCCAACAAAGCACGCGAACATGATGCGCTCGCATGACAGCTCGCCTTGAGCTCTTCGCTCTTTGACGCTGCTCTTTCCGACTGCTCGAAGCTTCGCCGCCAGCGCGGCGAAGGCCTCCGTCAGCTGCCCATCCTGGTGACAAAGGGTACAAAGAAGGAGAGAGAGAGAGAGAGAGAGAGAGAGGGAGAGAGAGGGAGAGAGAGGGAGAGAGAGGGGGGGAGAGAAAGGGGGAGAGAGAAGAGATAGAGGGAGAGAGGAGCCTTTCTTTGTTCACATGTGTTCACAGAGTCGTAGACAAAGGGGAGCGAAACCAATCCTTTTCCATTCCTTGCGCCTCGGCATCGCTGGCATCCACCCAGGCTTTCCGGAAAGTGCACTTGTACCTGAGCGCTGGGCGTGCTTCATGGGCCCAAGCACGACTCAGACAGACTGCTGCAGCAGGCAGGTGCGATGCGCAAAACCGAACATCGACACGCATCCAACCGCACCTGTAGTTGCGCGTGGTGTTCTGCGAACGGGTGCGGCTGTTTGACGCGAGCAAGGGCCAAAGTAAAACGATGCAAGCACTTGTTTCTGGTGACCACACAACGCCCCAAATAGTCTGCATATTCACATTTCGGTTCTTTCGTTTGGTGGTGTACAGTGGTGGCCTCAAAAAAACAACCAAATCCAAATCCCACCTTGTCTCCAGTAACTTACTCGTGCTATGTAGCCACAGACACACTCCTCGCTTTCATAGCCACACAAAACAAGCAAGTCCAAATCATTCCAAATCTGAATCTCACTTTGCTTGGGCTGCCTCCCCACGACATTTTTGGGGCTGGCGAAACAAAGGGCCAGGGCGCCTGCCTGCGGAGCACGCAACGCTCCAACTGGCCCGCATCACTTTTTGCGTCGGGTTGTTTTGCGGACGTGGCACACGCTATCAGTAGCGTTGCGTATTGGTGAGCACAACAACTTGTGCCAACAAAACAGGCAAAAACAACCAAATCCAAAGCCCACCTTGTCTCCAGTAACTTACTCGTGCTATGTAGCCACAGACACTCCTCGCTTTCATAGCCACACAAAACAAGCAAGTCCAAATCATTCCAAATCTGAATCTCACTTTGCTTGGGCTGCCTCCCCACGACATTTTTGGGGCTGGCGAAACAAAGGGCCAGGGCGCCTGCCTGCGGAGCACGCAACGCTCCGACTGGCCCGCATCACTTGTTGCGTCGGGTTGCTTTGCGGACGTGGCACACGCTAACAGTAGCGTTGCTTATTGGTGAGCACAACAACTTGTGCCAACAAAACAGGCAAAAACAGCCAAATCCAAAGCCCACCTTGTCTCCAGTAACTTACTCGTGCTATGTAGCCACAGACACACTCCTCGCTTTCATAGCCACACAAAACAAGCAAGTCCAAATCATTCCAAATCTGAATCTCACTTTGCTTGGGCTGCCTCCCCACGACATTTTTGGGGCTGGCGAAACAAAGGGCCAGGGCGCCTGCCTGCGGAGCACGCAACGCTCCAACTGGCCCGCATCACATTTTGCGTCGGGTTGCTTTGCGGAGGTGGCACACGCGAACAATAGCGTTGCGTATTGGTGGGCACAACAACTTGTGCAAACAAAACACGCAAGAACAACCAAATCCAAATCCCACCTTGTCTCCAGTAACTTACTCGTGCTATGTAGCCACAGACACACTCCTCGCTTTCATAGCCACACAAAACAAGCAAGTCCAAATCATTCCAAATCTGAATCTCACTTTGCTTGGGCTGCCTCCCCACGACATTTTTGGGGCTGGCGAAACAAAGGGCCAGGGCGCCTGCCTGCGGAGCACGCAACGCTCCAACTGGCCCGCATCACATTTTGCGTCGGGATGTTTTGCGGACGTGGCACACGCTATCAGTAGCGTTGCGTATTGGTGAGCACAACAACTTGTGCCAACAAAACAGGCAAAAACAACCAAATCCAAATCCCACCTTGTCTCCAGTAACTTACTCGTGCTATGTAGCCACAGACACACTCCTCGCTTTCATAGCCACACAAAACAAGCAAGTCCAAATCATTCCAAATCTGAATCTCACTTTGCTTGCGCTGCCTCCCCACGACATGTTTGGGGCTGGCGAAACAAAGGGCCAGGGCGCCTGCCTGCGGAGCACGCAACGCTCCAACTGGCGCGCATCACATTTTGCGTCGGGATGTTTTGCGGAGGTGGCACACGCTACCAGTAGCGTTGCTTATTGGTGAGCACAACAACTTGTGCTAACAAAACAGGCAAAAACAACCAAATCCAAATCCCACCTTGTCTCCAGCAACTTACTCGTAGCCACAGACACACTCCTCACTTTAATAGCCACACAAAACAAGCAAGTCCAAACCATTCCAAATCTGAATCTCTCTTTGCTTGGGCTGCCTCCCCACGACATTGTTGGGGCTGGCGAAACAAAGGGCCAGGGCGCCTGCCTGCGGAGCACGCAACGCTCCAACTGGCGCGCATCACATTTTGCGTCGGGTTGTTTTGCGGAGGTGGCACACGCTACCAGTAGCGTTGCATATTGGTGAGCACAACAACTTGTGCTAACAAAACACGCAAAAACAACCAAATCCAAATCCCACCTTGTCTCCAGTAACTTACTCGTGCTATGTAGCCACAGACACACTCCTCGCTTTCATAGCCACACAAAACAAGCAAGTCCAAATCATTCCAAATCTGAATCTCACTTTGCTTGGGCTGCCTCCCCACGACATTGTTGGGGCTGGCGAAACAAAGGGCCAGGGCGCCTGCCTGCGGAGCACGCAACGCTCCAACTGGCGCGCATCACATTTTGCGTCGGGATGTTTTGCGGAGGTGGCACACGCTACCAGTAGCGTTGCATATTGGTGGGCACAACCACAGAGCAACCAAGTTCAAATCTCACCTTGTTTGGGCTGCCGGCAGCAGTGTTGCAAGCAGTTCAAGCTCATGATGCTCGGGCGGTTTTGGGATCATTTCAAACCTTCTGTTCAAGGGTTTTGTGCTTGCCCATGCAGTGCAGTGATCATGTCAGGAAGGGCTCATGCTGTTCCAGCGGGCATGTCGGTTGTTGTGCAGGACAATTGTTTGCCACAAGCACCTGGCTCGAGCCAGCACGTAGCGCAGTGCAGTTGTGATTCTTGTGCAGCAATTGCAGCTGCAGCACCTCCTCCCGCTCCTCCTCTTCTCCTCTTCCTCCTCCTCTTCCTCCTCCTCTTCCTACTCCTCTTCCTCCTCCTCCTCCTCCCCCCCCCCCCCCTCCCCCTCCCCCTCCCCCTCCCCCTCCTCCTCCTCCTCCTCCGGGGCCAGGTTGTGTGCGTGTGTGCGGCGTTCGTTTGAGAAGTCTTTGAAAGGCCGTCGAGCTGCAATGCTTGACCTCTCTCCAGCCATTGCCTCGCGCTATGTGGCCACACAACACAATCAAGTCCAAATCTCACCTGCTGGTCTCCTGCCACATCCTCGCGACACACCCTCACGCGGTGTGGCCACCATGACAACCCGTTCCAAAAGTCTCACTTTGTCTGGGCTGCCTCCAGCCGCTTCCGAAAAGCGGGTTCAGATCCCGCCTTGCTTGGGCTGCTTCCGAACAGTCCTGCCACCTTCTAGCACGTATGGTCTGGACCTGAGGTTGGTGGATGTGGTTGGCATGTCCGTTGTGATCTGTTTTCGCTTCTTGGCTGTCGTTTGTCGTTGTCTCTTGTTGCGATGTGTGATGTTGCTTGTTTGGTATTGTTTCTGTGCGACAGTGCCCGCTAACTGAGATCGCCTAAAGTAACTGTGCAACCTCATCCAACTCCACGATGGCACACTGAAGCGCAGGCGAGATTAGCGCACAACCATGGCCCCGGTCTTTTGCCTGAACTCTTTTGCACCACCTCAGCCCCAACCCCTGACCCTAATCACCATCTTGGCTGCGCACCTCTCGCGGGGACAACTGTAGGCCGCCGGGTCTGAAAACGCAGAACGACGCCCCCCCCCCCCCCCCCCTCCCCAGCCATTTCCTCACATTCGGTTTCTGTGGCCACACATAGTCACAAGCCAGTCCAAACCGAATACTCATCATCCTTTACAGTGCACTACCGGCGTGACCGGCGCACGCTACATCGTCTCCGCTTCGTTGGTCCGCTCATCGTCTCCGCTTCGTTGGTCCGCTCCTCCACTCTCAGACATACGAGTTCCTTGGGCTTGCGCGGAGCTGAAGCCAATGTTTGAAGATCAACACAGCAGGAACTGTGGACTGTGGATGGTGTCATCGCGCCCGCCCACAAAAATAAACTGTCTCCGAGTGTCTTGACGCTACCGCTACCGCTGACTGAAGTCGTTCAACAACGCTCCACCACTCAGATGAACTTGCCGCGTTGCGGTTTTGCCGACTTCACGGCCCATTCTTGTTAATAGTTTGGGTGTCTTCGGTCTGAGACAGATCGGTGTGGAAGGCGACATCACTGTCAGACTTCCAGCTTGACGACAACACATATGGGCTACTGGACTTGCTTCCGGCGGATTCGGCATGAGGTGTTGCAGAACAATCAAGACATACACGGTCGCATACAAATTGGAGCAACAAGATTGACCGTACAAGTCCAATCCACTCTGGTGCACTCCTGCCTCGATGAGTGCTTCTCCTTCAACACCTCATGCCTCGGCAGGGTCGGACGATTCCGAGTCGTGCTTGGCTGCCTGCACTACCACATATGACGTTATGACCGCTGAATGGGATTGTGAATGCGAACACTGCACCGATGGCCGGGCACAAGGAGATGATCGATGAAAAGGACGAAGAAAGCCTCACAATGCACCGATGCCCGAATACCCGTAGGCTCCGGGGTCAAAGGCCACCAATGGCAAGGACAGACATAAAGAAGTGACGTGGTCATGACCGCTGAATGAGACATTGCCAATGCAAACAGTGCACCGATGCCCGAATACCCGTAGGCTCCGGGGTCAAAGGCCACCAATGGCAAGGACAAACATAAAGAAGTGACGTGGTCATGACCGCTGAATGAGACATTGCCAATGCCAACAGTGCACCGATGCCCGAATACCCGTAGGCTCCGGGTCAAAGGCCACCAATGGCAAGGACAGACATAAAGAAGTGACGTGGTCATGACCGCTGAATGAGAAATTGCCAATGCCAACAGTGCACCGATGCCCGAATACCCGTAGGCTCCGGGGTCAAAGGCCATCAATGGCAAGGACAGACATAACGTGGTCATGACCGCTGAATGAGACATTGCCAATGCCAACAGTGCACCGATGCCCGAATACCCGTAGGCTCCGGGGTCAAAGGCCACCAATGGCAAGGACAAACATAAAGAAGTGACGTGGCCATGACCGCTGAATGAGACATTGCCAATGCCAACAGTGCACCGATGCCCGAATACCCGTAGGCTCCGGGGTCAAAGGCCACCAATGGCAAGGACAGACATAAAGAAGTGACGTGGTCATGACCGCTGAATGAGACATTGCCAATGCCAACAGTGCACCGATGCCCGAATACCCGTAGGCTCCGGGGTCAAAGGCCACCAATGGCAAGGACAAACATAAAGAAGTGACGTGGTCATGACCGCTGAATGAGACATTGCCAATGCCAACAGTGCACCGATGCCCGAATACCCGTAGGCTCCGGGGTCAAAAGCCACCAACGGCAAGGACAGACATAAAGAAGTGACGTGGTCATGACCGCTGAATGAGACATTGCCAATGCCAACAGTGCACCGATGCCCGAATACCCGTAGGCTCCGGGGTCAAAGGCCACCAATGGCAAGGACAAACATAAAGAAGTGACGTGGTCATGACCGCTGAATGAGACATTGCCAATGCCAACAGTGCACCGATGCCCGAATACCCGTAGGCTCCGGGGTCAAAGGCCACCAATGGCAAGGACAGACATAAAGAAGTGACGTGGTCATGACCGCTGAATGAGACATTGCCAATGCCAACAGTGCACCGATGCCCGAATACCCGTAGGCTCCGGGGTCAAAGGCCACCAATGGCAAGGACAGACATAAAGAAGTGACGTGGTCATGACCGCTGAATGAGACATTGCCAATGCCAACAGTGCACCGATGCCCGAATACCCGTAGGCTCCGTGGTCAAAGGCCACCAATGGCAAGGACAGACATAAAGAAGTGACGTGGTCATGACCGCTGAATGAGACATTGCCAATGCCAACAATGCACCGATGCCCGAATACCCGTAGGCTCCGGGGTCAAAGGCCACCAATGGCAAGGACAGACATAAAGAAGTGACGTGGTCATGACCGCTGAATTAGACATTGCCAATGCAACCAGTGGTCACCGATGCCCGAATAAACCCGTAGGCTCCGGGTCACAAAGGGGCCCCAAATGGCAAGGCAAACATAAGAAGTGGCGTGGTCTGAAACCGCTGTAATGAGAACCATTGCCATCCACAGTGTCACCGATGCCCGAATACCCGTAGGCTCCGGGTCCAAATGCCACCAATGTCAAGGAAGACATAAAGGAGTGACGTGGTCATGCCCTCTGAATGAGACATTGCCAATGCCAACATGCACCGATGCCCGAATACCCGTAGGCTCCGGGGTCAAAGGCCACCAATGGCAAGGACAAACATAAAGAAGTGACGTGGTCATGACCGCTGAATGAGACATTGCCAATGCCAACAGTGCATCGATGCCCGAATACCCGTAGGCTCCGGGGTGAAAAGCCACCAACGGCAAGGACAGACATAAAGAAGTGACGATGCCCGAATACCCGTAGGCTCCGGGGTCAAAGGCCACCAATGGCAACGTAAAGAAGTGACGTGGTCATGACCGCTGAATGAGACATTGCCAATGCCAACAGTGCACCGATGCCCGAATACCCGTAGGCTCCGGGGTCAAAGGCCACCAATGGCAAGGACAGACATAAAGAAGTGACGATGCCCGAATCCCCGTAGGCTCCGGGGTCAAAGGCCACCAATGGCAAGGACAGACATAAAGAAGTGACGTGGTCATGACCGCTGAATGAGACATTGCCAATGCCAACAGTGCACCGATGCCCGAATACCCGTAGGCTCCGGGGTCAAAGGCCACCAATGGCAAGGACAGACATAAAGAAGTGACGATGCCCGAATCCCCGTAGGCTCCGGGGTCAAAGGCCACCAATGGCAAGGACAGACATAAACAAGTGACGTGGTCATGACCGCTGAATGAGACATTGCCAATGCCAACAGTGCACCGATGCCCGAATACCCGTAGGCTCCGGGGTCAAAGGCCACCAATGGCAAGGACAGACATGAAGAAGTGCCGTGGTCATGACCGCTGAATGGGATTGCGGATGCCAACAATGCACGCAAAGCCCAGTAGCTGATGATATTACAAACCTAAACTTATGCTTTGATACATTCTGACAGATGGACAGCGACTCCCTTGAAACGTGGCATGCAACTCAAAGCAACAAGAAACATAGCTGCTCACTTGCTCCTCCCTGAAACATTGCAAGCACCAGCCAAGGGCACTGCCGTCAGGCCAAAGCACTTGAAGCTTACATGACAGCCTGTTGACGATTCTAGATTCTAGATAGCATCGATTCAAGGGAAGAGCATGCGAATTGTCTGCCCAAAGTGCAAGCAAGGTACTGAAGAGGACTGAGCTGTCACTGCATGGCGGCCTGCGCAAGCTGCAAAAATTGTCTTGACAAGTTCGTAAGCGCCTTGAGGTTTTCTGGGGGGAAGAACTGGATCCATAAGCCGGTATGTGAGGCGATGATCCTCCCGCCCACACCTCCACGTCCGGGAGCCTTTGATCGAGCGCGATTTATTGCGTTTTGCCACGGAAAGGCGGTGCGCCCGGCCGAGCCTGCGCGGCAGCTACTGCTGGAGACTGATAGTTGGGTGGACTTTGGTGCATGACGAGGAACTCGTGTCAAAGTCCCGGTGGCCATCGGGCACGGGGGCACCCAAGCACCAAAGCAAAGCCTTCGCCTACTCGTGATTCGTTATCTGCAATAAGCCTACAGTACGGGCTGCAAGGTGTGTTGGGCTGGACTTCTGAAGTGGGACTCACGGTGGCATTGGCACGCCACGTGCATCACCATGTTTACTAATTATTGCGCTGGCAAACTGTATATGAAGGCTTGCTTCCAGATGTCAAGTCAAGCTTCAAGAACGCATTCGCCGTCACATGTAGATCCATGTAGCTGAAGCATGCACTGCTCCGGTGGACATTGTAGCTTTGCTTTTCAGCCTGTTGAGGGTCCATTTCAGGTCGAACTTCCCAGCAGTGGCCCGAAAATTCTGAAGAATCTGTCTTTCTTGTAGGGCTCATTGTCCCGCTCATTCCCGCTCAGTACTCCCTTCAGCAGGCCCGCTTCACGTGTTCCAGCAGCGGGAGCAGCGCCCCTGACAGCTCTCGTGCTCCAACAAGCAGTCGTAGTTCCTGGAGGCATCTGGCGCGATGTGCACGGGGGCGTAGTCAAACTAGTTTTTAAAGTAGCCCTTCGGGTCAAAGCTGACTGACAAGGCTCTTTCCGAGCAGCGTCGGGTTGGACTTGATGGCCTCGGCTTGAAGACCACCACACAAAGCAGAACATCATGGTACGAGTATTAGTCGTGACGGTGCTGATGATGGCTGTGATGGTGGCGATGGAGGTTATGGCGGTGATGGTGGTGATGGTAATGGTGATGGTGATGGTGATGGTGATGATGATGATGATGATGATGATGATGATGATCGATGATGATGATCGATGATGATGATCGATGAAGCTGCTGCGGTTGCTGATGGTACCGTGGGCCTCACGATGTAGAGGATGCTCACGTGCTTATTCATGCACGCACGTGTGAATTCTGGCGTCTACGCGAAGGAGAGAGAGAGAGAGAGAGAGAGAGAGACGGAGAGAGAAAGAGAGAGAGAGAGAGGCAAATAGAGGTACACGCACATGGCGCTTGCATCATCTTTTCGAGCTCACGGATGCAGGAAAGGAAGCTGGCGAAAGTGGAGAAATTTTGAAGCCACTGGAATCCTCTCAGAGTCGATGATTCGCTCATGTCGGGCGCCTTGTTGTAGATCTCGTCGCTCTTCAAGTAGCTGGGCGCGGTTTTTTTCCCCTCCTCAAGCTCCTTCACGCTGAGGCCTGCAGGACACTTTGATCGCGGTTTGCGCATACGATGTCCGATTCCGGCCACTGGTGCTGCTGAGGCTGCTAAGGGCCCTGCCCAGGACTTCTGGGAAGCGCCGCACCTCAGCCAAGAAGCGCGCACTGGGGAAGCTTTCGCCGCTTTCGCCTAGCACGACTCTAGCATCAGTACCGGACTGACTACTCTCGGCTCTTCACGTGTAGACAAGCAGACAGGGTTCCATCTACTCCAAGCACGTTGCAGCAGACTGTATTCTTCTGTGAGTTTCTAGGGTTGTCGGCCCCAAAATGCGGCAACCTGCCAAACAATGCCTTCATTCAGCGTAAACCCCTGCAGAAGCACCCAAGCTTTCTGCGCCAGGCCCTTGTCTTGCAGCCAGCGTGCCTGTCAAGCTGAACTAGAAAACATGTTGGGTGAACTTGGGGTCTCACATGGTCTCACTCAGTGTCTCACATGTGTCACTTGTCCACGTTATGGGATCGGCGTCTTCAAGGACTCCGCTCTTCAAGTCAAGAGCTCCTTGGAAAACCCTTTGCTCTGGTCTTGTCTCTTGACTCTCTTCTCCTTTCCAAAAGCGGCTTACTTTGCTTCCCTTCTGCTCCTTATTGCGGCTTTCTCTCTCAGCTTGCCCCTGGTCGTGGTGCTACATGCTTCTGCTTTTCTGTCTCCCATCCTTTCTGGCCGGGCCGCGGTGCTCCGCACGGCCGCGGGCTCCGGCGGCGCCTCAGAGCGCAGCTTCCGCCAGAAGCGGCGGCTCTTCTGCGTCCAGGCGAAGCCTCCGAAGCTGGAAGCAAGTGCTTTGAACTCCCCGTGGGCACAGGCTTCTTGTGTGTGTTGGGATAGCTGACCTCATTCTGTAAATGTTTATTGATCTCGGGAAAAAGTTTGAACTTGAACCTGCTATGACGGGCTACTGGACTAATGTGCATGTGCATTCTTGTGGCATACACTTCGTCGGTGCTCCTGAGCCGGAGCCATCTGTCAGCGTGTCCAACAGCGTCAAGGTCGTGCTGCAAATCATTGCGCAGCGCAGTGAAAAACTCAAAACCAAGCCCGCAATGGGTTCACATTTCAGCATTACATTGCCTCTGGCCTGTGAACATGCTTTGTGAATTATTCATTTTTGTTTCCTCTTGTTCCTTCCGAGGAAAGCTGCGGCCCGAGCTCGTGTGAGCCTTGCGACGGTTTATGGCATATGATTGCATGAGCTACAGTGCTGTTATTGTTCTAAGCCGCTTTCGGGGCAGGTTTTTGTTCGAGGAAGCACACCACGGAAGTAGCGCCTGCTTGTAGCCACTCCAGCGCATCTTCCTGGGCGCTTCGCAGGGTCTCATGGGCTTCGCTAGAAGCCATCGGACAGTTTACCTCCTATTGTGATGTTTGGTAAAGGTCTGCAACCTACATGGGACACTGACATTCAACAAAACCGCTGAACAGAGTCAGCTTCGGTGATGCTACCTCGCATGCTGGGACAGCGTCTTTGGTGCTGTCTTCGATGATATCCAGGATGACCTCAGCACTCTCCACCCAAGCGGGTGAGGTCAGGTCTGGCTCGGCCGGTTTCGCGCGCAGCGCTTGGGAGACACGGCGGTAACCGCCGTACCCAGCAGGCACAAAGCCTTCAAGGTCCAAGCAATTGCAGGTTTTTCAATGCGGAATCTCAATGCGTTTTGCTGCCAAAGAAAACTTGCTCTTTGAACTTTGAACTAGCTTTGAGCTTCACTCGCCAGATGCCTAGCTGATTGATTAGTCGAGACTGGGCGCATCTCAGGCCTTCGCAGTCTTCGCAAGCTGGGACAGGAAACCCATCGACGGCAAACCCTCTAGGTTGTCGACAAAACACACAAAATCCCAAGCAACAGCAGACATTCCGAGACCCCGAACCCCCACCATAAAAAAGACTGCCAGAACATGCCAGAACACTGGTCTGCAGAGAAAGGGCCGGCAGCGACAGCAGCGCCAGGACGGCAAGGAGGGAGCCGAGGGAGCTCCGGAGATGCTTCCGACCCAAAGGCCTAAACCCTAAACCCAGACTCCGCCGCGCCGTCGGCTGCAGCCACCACAGCCGCAGCGCCATGGTTCTGGCTCTGGCTCTCATGTGCTCTCCTCTTTGTGCAGAAGCAATATGCCCAAAACAGACAAGTCCAAACACCGTACCCCCAGGCGGGAGAAAAGATCTGGCTTGGCCTTTTGGCGCTTGCTGGCAAAAGAATACTTTTCAGAGTCACCCTCGAGGATTGCGCAGGCAAATTCAGTCATATGCACTCAATTCCGACTCAGTTACGAGCCTTACCGCGGCTCACGGCGCTTCGGAAAACCATTTGCAGAACCAGATGCAGATGAGACGAAACTACTGGCGTTTGCGCAATTGCTGGCTAGTGAGAACTTGGCGGCATGTAGTGACTCATATGAGCTTGCTACGCGCTGCTAACCAGAGCCGGGACCAAAGCGCAGGCACGGCCTAAAACATTGAGAGGTCGAGGCGGCCAAGATCTTGATCCCTGTGATCCTTTGCAGCTGTTAGGGGGTTGGGAGGCAGAACCCAAAAACCTCAACGAGCATGAGCAGGGGTGTGGGGTATCATCCTTGAGCCCTAAAGACTCAAGAACTTGTGACGGACGGCAGGAACGAAAGCTAGTGCAATTGCTCGAGAAGCCACTCAGGATAACAGCATTGACCGAACAGGCAAGTGCGAGACCTGGTGCTGACTAGCCAGTGCGCGGCCGGACTACTCCTCGCCATCACCCGTATCCCACCCCAGAGCAAGAAACCCCAAATTATCCACAAAGTTTTGAGGAGTGCCCAACCAGTATCCCCGGAAAATGGGAGTGTCCAGGCTTAAGAGCTGCCCAACCCCAGAGTGCAGAGCATCATCAGAGAATCCCTGGAGTGCCCAGCCTGTCCCCAGAAATTGGCCAAACGAGCTCCTCAGCACCCTTCACCCAATCCAGACTCAGCTATGCTCAGCATGTCCTGCCTACGTACACGCAGTTCCATGCTCCCGGATGCACCCTGCCCAAGCCAAAGGCCACCGTGCGAGCATGTGAACTCATGTGAACTCTTCAAGTCTGCTCTGGCATCTGCGTAGTGCTTTCTCAAACTATGCCTCGCGAGCCGCTCATCCTCACCGTGCTTGTCCTTGCCTTTTCTTTCTCTTGCCAAGATCTCTCACCGATTGCGTTGCGAGGATATGCAGAGCTCTTGCCAGCGGCCGCCGCCTCCAAAGACATAGCAATTCTCATGAAACAACGTGTTTACGTGTTTTATTAATCAAGACGTACTCTCTTAAAAGCAAGCGCCGCAACAGCCGATAAGCAAGCAGATAGCCATGAGAGCCACAGGTACCTGCCGGCTTTCTCACAGGCGTCGGAGATGCAGACCCAGCTGAGCATGTCGGGCGGGACCTGAAGGTGCCCCGAGCCGGTCATCTCGGACATGAAGCCCAGAGCACGCAGCCAACGGCTCGACAGCGCTTGCAGGGCACTGTTGCAAGTGGTTAGGTCCAGCTGCAAGTCTTGGCTGTTCATCGCACTGAGGAGACCCAATGCCCGATTCCATGTCGCGACGTCCAAAGCCGCAGCAAAGGCATGCAGAGGTATGGATGCGGGCGTCCTTTTGGAGAGCACCGTTGAGCCGAGCATTTCCAACACCAAGGTCCAATGCTCCCTTTGGGTGGCCACAGCCGCCACAGCCGCACCGAAGGCGACGGCGGGAACTTCCAGCAGCGCCCAACACATCGAGTCCAGGATCCCGAGACCGGCCTCCCACCTTGATGTGCGAGCACAGCTAGTGACAGCCACGTTGAAGCCCACAAGGGTCGGAGGCGATGTAGTCGATGTACCCCACAAGGCGCGCATTCCGAGCTCCCAAGGGCAGGCGCCTTTCTGTCGAAACACGACAAGTGCAACACGACAACTCTGCACGACGATACACCTCTCTGAACTCTGAACGGCACTCTGACTGATCTCTGACTGCACTCTCTGCACTCTCTGCAGAAAAGCCGAGGCTCGCACTGGCCAAGGCGGCCATGGCAGCCTGAAGCTCGCCGCCGCGGAGGCCTCTGATGAGGAAAGAGTGGAGGATGCGGCAAGCGACCACCCACCTCTCGCTCGTGAAATCACACATGAAAAGTCTCAAGGTGTCTCAAAAGAGAAGCCCCGATTTAGAGAAAGAAAAGAACCAGAGAAGCTCCGCTCCGACGTGTGGAAACCACGTACGAAACCACAGTACAGTGACATTCAGTGGTACATTCAGTGGTTCAACTCAGGCTACTTTTTTGAACATCAACGGGAGTTCAAGACTGTCCATCTTACAAGTACGGTGGTCCGAGACGATGTGGCGATGCTTGGGATGCCCTTGTCTGCCCGCCTGAAGCCGCAGGTGGCCAGACAGCTCGTGCACAGCACCACATTGGGCTCGAGGGACCGCCCAGAAAGCATCTGCACCGCCAACGTCCATCGCGAGCTGCGGCAGGCACTTACCGCCGTCCCACAGAGCACCACGTCCGGCTGTAGAGAGGCGGCAGCGGTCGCATCCAGGATGCGGAAGGCTCCTTCCCAGCGCGCTGCCCGCTCGAGGCTCAAGGCGAGGCTGCTGTAAGAGATCAGGTCCGGGACCAAGGCCGAGGCCGAGGCCCGTGGCAAGAAGCTCTCCAAGAGCTCCAGCGCCCGCCTCCAGGAGCCGGCCTTGGCCAGGCCGGCCAACACGGCGTTCGCCGCGATGAGCGAAGAAGGCGGAGAAGGAGGGGAACTTGACGGCGAGCGCAGCGAGCGCAGCGAGTGCAGTGCCTGGAGCGCCTCTGCCCAGCACTTGGCGCGGCCCAGGGCCGCCAAGCGGCGCGTCTGCTCGGGAGCCGAGAGGCCCCGGAGGTCACCCGAGATGGTAGGGCCGGTATGGTGGGGACCATGACCGCCCTGGCACGGCATAGCACAGCATTCACAAAGAGCTCGGACTCCTCAAAATACGATCGGAGTGCCATGACGGCCTTGGACGCGGAGGGCGCTGGCGAGGGCGAGAGCACCGGCCTCCTGCTACCTTATGCTGCCTTAAGCACCTCGGAGCCAGAGGCTGTAGGTGCACAATTGATGGACCAAAATAAATTTACCTCGCCCAGTGGCCAGCACTTTAGCCTTCAGATCATGACAGGTACGTAGTCAACTCGAGAGTGGAGGGTTTCCAAACCGATGACGACATCAAAAAAGCTTGCGGCTTGCAGGGGCTTCGAGAGAGGTTCTCCGGTACTCGCGACTCGCTGAAATTAGTCACTCTGAGGACACCGCGGGGTTTTGCAGCATCTTGCAGCAACATCTGCGAGGAGCCTTGCGGCCCACTTCCAAGCGTGAAAACCCTCGGAGGGCGAGGAGCGAAGTCCACGAAGTCCTCTGGCCGCGGCCGCGAAATGATTCCAATGCGCCTCCAGTGAATTGGCCAAGGACTCCAGAAGCAGCTCCAAAGAAACGCACCAAAGAGGAGGCCCCTTGGGCCCCTTGGGACCCTTCTTCTCTTTTGAAGGCTCATTTTCCTGCTTCGGCTCGTCCCTTCTCTCCGCCTCCAGCAACCCTCGGAGCGCCGCTTGCAGCATGAAGGGATTCCGCCTCAGCCCACGCTCCTTGCAAGCCTCCAGCAAAGATGAGGCCCAAGGCCAGGGCTGCGCTTGCCAGGGCGCTTCCCGCTTCCTGCACTTGCTCAGCTTGCTCCGGGGCGCTTCCTTCTTGGAAGCCCAAGAAGGTCGATCCGAAGCCGTGGGGTTTCGGGGGATTTCACGGGGAGGAAGGATGCTGAAGAGGCTGGCATCGTACATGCCCACGTGTGTTTCGAGGTGTCGGAGCCGAACCTCACAGAGGAGCCGCAAGGCCACCTTCCACTGCCGCGCCCAGGAGCAAGCGCGCAAAGCCAAAACCATGCCCAGCGACTGGCTCTGCCTTCCGCTCCGGTTCAGATTCTCCAACAAAGCCAGCGACAGCGTCCACGCATGGCCCGATATGCAGGCGCGCAAAGCCTCACAGCAAGAGTAGGCATCCGCACCCCCAAAGCGTGGGCCAAATTCTCCGAACATCGCCAAAGCCTCTCGCCACGTCTCTGCCAACCGGAAGCCGTCACAGCACAAGCGCATTGACGCCTCCATGGACCCGCGGCCGGAAGCCGGGCGAAGCAGCCGCGAGCGCAGCGAACCCAGGGAGGCGCGCCAGGCCACGGGCGCGAGATCGTTGAGCCGATTGACCCAGTCGAGTCTCTTTGGGCTGCCCTGGATTTGGCTCTGTGCCAAGGCCAGTGCCAGAGTCCAGGGCCCCGAACGTGCAAAGGACATGAGGCCTCGGCTCACAAGCAGTCGGTCGCGATCCTTACATACACCAATGAACCTAGCACCGACGTGCCAGCAACGGCACATGCTTCGTGCCGAGGCCAAATTTGCAAATAGATTCCAGAAAGAAACTTGGGGACCCAAGATGACACTTGTTGAATGTAGGATTTTTGTTGAACTTTTTAGTTAACTTGAGTTGCTTTGTTTTTGCCTCTACTCTTTTGCCTCTTTTGACCCAGCTCAGACATAGCTCAGAGCCGGGCACTCGCTCCCCGGGCGCAGGGAGGCGGCCGAGAAGCGCCGAAGCAAGAGCAGCGCCTCTCGCACAACTCTCTTCAAGCAAGAAGGGGAGAGGCAGAAAAAAAAAAAAAAAACACACACACACACACACAATATTCATATAACTCATTTACAAAATGCCCCTGTTGAACTAGGCTGGAGAGAGGCCTCGGTCCAGCAGCCCGTGCTTTCCAGTGCCCGGCTTGGTGCCGGCAGGGGCTCGCCTAGGACAGCCCTAAATGTGACCACATGAGGGGAAGTGCCAGAACTCCGAGGCATGTCTCAGATGCAAACATTGCCTGTGTTCACATTGCTTCTACTGCAGCACTTACAGGTTTTGCAGCAGCGCGCCTGGCAACCTTAGCTGGCGAAGCTGCCCCAGTAGCCGCAAAGCAGTTGGCCATGCTTGCGCCTCCCCAAGTGAAAAATCCCTCTCCAAGTCTCTCCTCTTTGCTGCCGCTACACGGACTCCTGCCACGGACTCCTGCTACGTGAACGCCCTTCTGCTGCTCCCTTTCGTAGGGCCAGGGCCTCGAGAACAGTGCAGCAGAGCTGCCGCAGCGGTCGCCGCAAAGCCGCGGCGTTCGCCGTAGCCGCCGTAGCCGCCAGGCGCTGAGCAGCCTCGTAGAGGCACCGCTCGGCAAGGCGCTGGGCCATGGCCACCTTCACCGCGATACGGCACAGCGGCAGTCCGCGTCAGTGGGTCAACTGCATCCAACTATATCCGCCGACCCCAGCCGGGGGCGGCGTAAGTGAAGACCCACTGCTTCTTATACCTTCCAGACCTTCTACCCATGACACAATCTCTTGTGTTTCAGGTGGTCCAATGCACTCTCATCACCCTCACCCTTCCTCCCCTTCACCCGTTAGACCTTCCAGGGACAGGGTGCGGGCCAGCGCGAGGGTGATCACCTGAAAACCCCCCCCTCCCCCGCCTCGCCCTACCTCCCCACCACAACCCGCCCTAATGCCGGACGCCACCCCTTCGACCCTGCCCCCCATGGCTTCATGGCCCCAGCGCCCCGGGGCCCTACCCCCATGGTCCCATGGCCCTTCTACCATCGGCCCGAAGCCGGGGTTCAGTGCATGCCCGCTTGCTCCCCACTTTGACCGCTTCCATGACCCTCTGGCTCCATGGCTTCATGGCCCCAACGCCCCAGGGCCCTACCCCCATGGTCCCATGGCCCCAGCTTCCTGCCATCAACCCTAGTTTTAAGGGCTCCAGAGCATGCCCACTCGCTCCACTCCCCCCGCCCTCTCCCCGCCCTCTCCGCCCACTCCGACCGCTCCCCATGACCCTTCTGGCCCCATGGCTTCATGGCCCCAGCGCCCCACACCCCTACCCCCATGGTTTTAAGGGCTCCAGTGCATGCCCGCTTGCTCCACTCCCCCGCCCTCCCCGCCCACTCCTACCGCTCCCCATGGCCCTCTGGCCCCATGGCTTCATGGCCCCAGCCCCAGGGCCTACCCCCATGGTCCTATGGCCCTGGCCCTCTGGCCTTATGGCTTCAGATCCCCAGCGCCCAGCCTTCTACCAGAGCGGGGCTGGCCCTGCTCACTCCCCTTGCCCGGCCTTCTCCCATAACCCTCTGCCCCCATAACTTCATGGCCCCAGCGCCCCAAGGCCCTACCCTTCATGGTGTCATGCTCTATGGTAGAAGGCATGGGACCATGGGGGTAGGCGCTGGGGCCATGAAGCCATGGGGCCAGATGGGCGGAAAGGGGCCTGTGGTAGAAGGCTGGGGACCAGGCCCTGGGGCGCTGGCCATGAAGCCTGCACTGGAGCCTATGGTAGAAGGCTGGGGCCCGCCCTGGGCCCTGGACCGGGAGTGGGCGACGGGCATCACAGGGACCATGGGGGCCATGAAGCCATGGGGCCAAAGGGCCATGGAGAGCGGTCGGAGGGGCGGAAAGGGCGGGGAAAGTGCACTAGAGCCCTTAAAACTCAGTTTCGGGCCTGTGCTAGAGGCTGGGCCATGGGACCATGGGGGTAGGGCCTGGAGCCAGAGGGCCATGGGTGGGCGGAGAGGCGGGGAGAGTGGAGCAAGTGGGCACACCCCCCTCCCACCACTCCCACCCAACCCCACCACCCCCCCTCCCCCCACCCCTAAGCGGTTCCAGCACAGCATTGACGTTGTAGGGTTTTGGGTTCAGAGCCTTTAGCGTGCCATCAGCGGGACTCTCTTGGATCTGGGGTTGGCGGCACTGGCGGTAGCCATTAAATCGGGCAGCGCGAGGTCCCCAAGGACCGAGTATTGGCGGACCTTTTAACCCGGGTCGTCCCGGGAATAGCCTTGCTAGCCTGCGGCCTTCTGCGAAGCAGAATTGGGCCGGACGCCAGTGCCGCCGACCCCCGCGTGCCGCCGGTGAACGGTTTTTTTTTCGTGGTTTTTTGCGTCGCCACGGAGGCCCCCAGAGGGCGCGCATCATGAGCATCAGCGGGCTGGACCCCCAGGCGCGCATCAGGAGCATCAGCGGCTCCCGTGGCGGGACCCCGGGGGCGCATCAGGAGCATGATGCCCCCCAAAGGGCGGGCATAAGCGACGTGTCTAAGCCTGGGGCTAGGAAAAAGGGAGTTTAGGGGCCTTATAAAGTGCTTAGAAACTTTAAGGGAGTCTAGGAGCCTCAAACGCTTAGAGATTTGAAGGGAGTTTAGGGGCCTGAAAATGCTTAGAAACGTTAAGGGGGTTGAGGAGCCTCAAACGCTTAGAGATTTTAAGGGAGTTTAGGGGCCTCAAAATGCTTAGAAACTGCTCGCCCCGCGCTTCTGCCTGCGCTGCCCGCCCATGGGCGCAGCCCCTTAAAATAATATATACGATCGTCCTTATAAGAGGTGTGCCAACATGTCACCGAGGAATAGAAATAACAGAGACAGTAAGGAGCAACTGTCGTAACCGCTGAAGATACGAAGCGCCCTAGCGAACCCTGCAGGGCCTGAAAGCTGCCTTTTGCCAGCGGATGAAAGAAACTCTTCAACTCCAGGAACTCCAAAGCGGCCTGCCACCTCGTCTGAACGAGGGCCAACCCCGCTGCTTCTGAAAGCCCCTCTTGCTCCGAACTCTCGAAAGTGCCGTCAGTGCCGTCAGCGCCGGTCTCCAAATAACAGAGCACGAGGGCCCATGGGTTTTCTGGACTAGCCAATGCCTTTGACATCCACACGCCACTCGGTTCGAGCCTCTGACATGCGTGGTAGGCCCAGAGAATGCCAGCCCAGTGGACCTTCTCTGTTTTTGCTGCCTTCGAGGCCTTTGCCCTGTGCCACCGTCGGAACGCTTGCTTGGAGGATGCAAGGAGCAAGCTGTCGTCGTCCTGGCCAAGCCGCTGCTCGCGCAACCATGGACGTGTCAGCCTCAAGTGCCAGAGCAGACTTTGACTTTTGAGCACACGGGCAAAATAAGAAGCACCCAGCAGGAAGGGGACTCATAATGGGGTTCATCGAGTCACCGAGTGCTGTGCCCCGGCTGCGGTTCCATATGGACTCGCCAGACTCGCCAGCATCACGTTGCTCAGAGAAAGCACGCGGGCGGAGGACTCTCAGAAGCGTCGCAAGTAGGCATCCCAAGAGGCCCCGCTGCTACCGGGGCAGTATCTTCTACAAGACCCAATTTCACTCTGAGAAAAGTGATGAGAATCTGATGTCTTCTGAAATGCACCTCAACTCATTCAACTCACGGTCAGCAACCATCAGCAAGTGCACCTGCTAGGGTATCCACGATAGAGACAGTTCTATTTCGGTGGGAGAGAGGCTGTAAGCATCTTGAGCAACCCCGCGAAATGTCAAGTTTTGCCTCATGCGCGGCCAAGTTTCTGTGCGACAGGTTCTGTCTGCTTGCAGCCTCCTTTTAAGTGCCAAGATGCATCGATCAGTCGAGCATGTCTGAAAATTGCTCAGAAAGCGAACCTCTACCGGGAAGCACTTGTATACGCTTGTCAACTGAGCTGCTGAGGTCTTCGAAGTCTGCTCCCGGTCAGAGCCAACGCTTTGAGCGGGACCCTTACAGGTCGAAAAGTCTTCCATTAACAGCTATGGAAACAGCTAGTACTGCGGAGCCCTTTGGACGTGCCGTCTTTGGCTCGGCCAAGCAACGACTTCCATCCCCCCACGCATGGTACGTACTGTACACATACCGCTGTCATCTACGGAACCCGGTCAAGAATGGCATTGTTCACCTTTCTTCGAAATTGCATGGGGAGGTGAGTCGTCCGTTGAGTTGAGGTGTTGTGAAAGCGCGCTCAGTCCGGTGACATCATGTCATTGCTCTCAGCGGGCCTGCAAGCACTTAACACTCAAACCACACAAACAAAAGGGGAGCAAAGCGGGCCAAGGCACGGATTTTCTCTCGACTTGGGAGCTTCAGCAGGCTGAGCTGGACCTGCATCGGCCTCACATGAAGAGCAGGTTTCGATCACCCAATCACCGTCGAAACCATCACTATGGCCAGCAGCCTCAAACATGCAGCAGCCTCAAACACGCACCCAAGATCTGCCCTATCGAGCACAAAGGCAACGTGTCCTTCGTCACAGGCCTTTTTGGAAAGGAACACGGACATCTCCTTGTCAGCGCCTGGCGAGCGAGAACGAAAGCGAGAAAGAGGGCGAGAACGAGGGGCGAGAGCGACACGAACATGTGTAAGACAGACCAGCCCACTCCTACTGTTGAGGGTGGGCAGGACCTACTAAGGCAAGAACAACAATCCACATGCACTAGCCACCAGCCCTGGAGCGGCACCTAAGCACCCCCAGCTGAAACACGACTGTGGCCCAAACCTTCCAAGAGCTCCAGCAGGTCAGCATTAGGATGGCCTGACAACAGAGCAAGAGCACTCAGAGAACGCATTGAGATCCCCCAAATCTACCAATCCTGACTCTTTGGCGATGTCGAGCGGCGTCTTCCCGTCCTCTACGAAGTTGTCAAAAAGCTATGGGCGCTCGTGCATCTCGGCACACATGTCTGGCCAGAGAAGTGAGCTCCTGGTTCTTGATCCTCACGGACCTCGACAACAGACTCACAGTGAACATACCCGAATGCCGGCTCAAAGGCTCAGGTCTGCCAAGTGTCGCAGGGCGTTATGAGACATTATAAGTGCTGATTAGGCAATACGTCCAGGCTCTGAGGGAAGGGCCGTTCGCCCCCATTCTCAACAATCAACCACGCCTTGCGTTGACATGCCAAAACTGTTTGCAGCAAAGATCAGGAATGAAAGAGCATGCGCTATGAGCATCCATGCTGCATGCTTGAATACCAATCTCCCCCGGCCACGTCTTTGGCACCGCTGATGGCCGCTTCATGCAGCGCAGTGTTGCCGCGATTGTTCTGCCTCGGGCGCAGGACGGGGACAAGAAAAAAACAAAGCCCTGCATGTGACTGCATGTGACTGCAGATGACTGCAGCGTGTACTGACATCGACATCGCCCGAGGAGCAGGTCGCGCTCCGCACCTCCCCAGAGCAGCATGGAGGCCACCAGGCGCTTGTCATGGATGCCGGCCTCACTGCAAACGCCGAACCCTGCATCTTTTCGATGCGGTGCCGAAGCTTAAGAAAGCTGCGAGGATCAGCGGTGTGTTGCCATGAGCATCCTGGATGTTGACGTCAGCGCTGCATTCCACCAGCCTCAAGATGAAGTCAATGATGCGGTCAAATTCAGGTTTCAATGACCACATCTTCTATCTTGTACACGTTCAGTCCTGCTTGGAAGAAAGCTGCCTCAAGTGATGGTGCGATGCCTCTGGGTGTCCCTGCAGGCTACCAGCTGCAGCCTCTCCGGCCTTGGAGGCGCAGTGCAGCGCCGTGTTCCCCAAGGAGTCCTGGCAAAAGCAAAGTCTTCCCACGTCAGAGGACACATAATGTCACATAACCCAATCCTTTTGCTGCTGCACGTGGGCTTCGAAAGGCGGAGACCCAGAGCCGAGACTGTACAAGTACAAGCCTGGTACAACAGCCACAAGAAAAGTCAATTCGAGGAAAAAAGTCATTTGAGAAGGTGCGTAGGAAGGCACAGCGCCCAAAGTTGTGCCTAAACAGCGCACTGTGCAGCCGCACACGAAAGCCGCCCGAGCTCTTGTCACGTTCTGCTACAGTCTCAGCTAGGGATTTTAGTGTCGGACACTCCTGGACACTGCGGCTTTGCAAAGCGAATTAAAGGCTGCTGCGAAGCGAAAGGCAAATCTACAACATCCTCCAGCGACCTTCTACGACAGTTTCCAAATACAACTGTCTATGCGTTTGCCAGCTTTTGTCGGTTAGTCACTCTAAGACTCTAAGACTGCAACAACCACCATACGCAACACTCAGCTCTCGCATGTTGGCTCTCAAGATGGCAAGTGTGGATCTTCGCACATATCACACTTGGCTGTTCGGGGGAGCACGAAGTCATGTGTTTTTTGCATGTCATTTTTAGATAGCTATTGCCGCCGTGCCTTGTCTGTAAATTCGGACTGGCGCTGCATTCGATTGCCTTTCTTGAGAAACTTTCGTGCTCCCACAAGACATGCTTTGCTTGGTAAATTTGGGATCTCTCTGGACTGCCCCCAAATTGACCAGCAAAGTCTCCGAGCTGAGCTCGCTGGGCCCGTAACACTGGGTTTCCAGCGCACAGATCTGAACAGGGGGTCCCACCGATATTGTCAGTGTCAGCTGAGCTTTCAACAGTATGTCCGTATGTCCGGTGGCGATGTCAGGTTGACAACTGTTTCTGTACTGTATATTTAGCGTTAAAAAACCGTGCCAGGCTCGGCAGGGTTGTCTACCAGGTGGCCGTCATAACTGGCAGCATGCAGGCAACAAGCGAGGCGAGAATGAAGGAAAGCATGGCAGGAGCAAGATGCTCTTCTTCGGGAGGGAGGTACTCTGCTTCTTTGTTCTTGAAGTACTGCATCCCGATGTCCTTGGTCTAGGCTCATGGCCGGAGAAACATTCTGAGTACCCCGAAAGCCAGCAAAATGCAGAGAGCAAACTCCCCTTCAGGACCCTGGCCATGGCCATAGAGGCTGCAGTAGCCGCAGCACTGGAATCCGTCGATGTGCCCGGGTCCTCAGAGCACCGTGATGTACAGCAGCACGTTTCCCGCAGATCATATGTGCTGGGCTCTTGTGTGGTTTTGGGTAGCCTTGGGGGGGACCTTGGGGGACTTTGAGCGCGTGGGACAGTCCTCCGGCCCTTCGAGAGCCCTTCGGGGCAGAGGGTCCTGCGAAGCTGCCCCGGCTGTCTCTGCCACCATTGCCACAGTGGCCATCGCCGCCACCTGCACCCGGAAAAGCAGACTTCTTGAAGAATGGACCATCATGGAATGAAGTAGTGTAAGTAGAGCAGGCGCATGCAAACCACATTGACAAAGCTCCATCGTGCCTGTGGCGCGTGCTGAGGGCCAAGGCAAGTTGGAGGCGGTTTGTTTCTGTGAGACTTTAGCTCCAACCGTTGCGCTCTGAAAGAAGTGGCGCGTCTCGCACATGTACCGCACGACTATAAAACTCTGCGAACTTGATTCGACGCTATGACGCTCCATGAAGCCTGGGGCTCCCCACCCCTTGAGCCGCAAAACGAAGCAACGAAATGGCCCACAGGTTTTGACATGTTTTGACCGCGTTTCCAGGGCGGAAGCTGCAGCTCCTTCGCATCGATGTCGAAGTCATCTGCGTCCTCACTTAAAGATGCCAACGTGATAGGGCCGAGCTGTCAGGGTTCGGGGATTGCAAAGGCGCACCGAATGGAAGGCAGGTTGTATCGACCTACGGCATGCCCTCGGAGCCCTTCCGATAAACAGCCTCTGTGAGCCCGTGAGCCCGAGTCCAGGAAACCGTTCATGGCGCCAATGTCGCCGCCGGCGGCGGCATCAAAGATCGAGGCCATCGCCCCAGCGTTCTAAACCCTGAAACCCCTGAAATCCCACATCGAAGGTCCTCTGGCTGAATCGCCTAACAGTCTAACAGTCTGACAGCCCTGCAATGCTCTTCAATTGCCCTGCAATGCCCCCTGATGCCTTCCAATACAGCACGAGCTGAGGCTGGATGTCGCCATGCGGAGCACATGCAGCGCACAGTGTGGAACGATGATGCCCAGCTGCCCTAAACAGGGAGGAAGCGCAGAATGAATATACCAAAACAGATTTTCGTATGCTGTGTTTCGCCTGTTTCTCTCTCCCCCTATACTCAGAAAGAATGCAATGTCAGGCAAGTCAGGCAGCTAAAACACACTGCAAGGGATCAACCGGATCGTGCTGTCCAGTGAACATCTTTACCGGCCTTGAAACATCTGTCACTGGGCATTCACTGACTCCCAGAAGCTGCTACTGTGTCGGAATGGCCAATTAGTAGTCTACCACAACCATCCCATTTCAGGTTCATCTTGGGGAGGTGCTTTGGGATGCAAGTGGCCGTCTGCACCATGAACCCTGTATTCACCATCTTGCCCACCCCCCCCCCCCCAATTTTGAGCCAGCATGGATCAAAAAAACAAAAAGAAACCGGTAAGGATCAAAAAACAAAGGCTTTCCACATAAAAGCAAGCTTGCCCGGCTTAGAAGGTAGGGCGCAGGGGGGGTTGGGGCGGAGAGGGGGCCAGCTTGCCGGACGTGGGGCGCAGCGCCCCCGATTTGCAGACGAAACGCTCGCAGGACAGGCTTCAAACGATTCATGTTTTTGCAACAAGTCCTCTCGACGGCATGATATTCTTAAACACAAGGCTGCTCGCTGGGTGTGAGGGGGCTGTCCGACATTCCTTCATCCCAAATTTGGGGGATAGTGCTGTGCTTGCGCGGAGCTTGCAAGCTTGCGCACGTGCAATGGGGCTGAAATGGACAAAGGTTTTCGTGGAGGCTCATCACAATGACAAACTGAGACAGCTCGCACTTCTATCTCTTGAGCCATTCCTTGGGCCATGCTTTCCCGGAACTTACGCGCCTGTTTGACAAGCTTTAGTATACTTTGTTTCCACTGATAGAAAATGCAAACAATGCTGGTTGACAAGCTTTAGTATACTTTGTTTCCGCTGATCGACATGCAGACAATGGTTTTTGGACCTCCCGCATTCTTCAACTCGAGCTTGCCGCGCTGAGAAAGAAAGGTGGGGGGGAGGGCACACCCCCCCCCCCCTCACTCCAGGCCGAACCGGCCCTGCGAGGGATCGTCAACCATTTCCAGCCCGAGAAGGTTTGGATGTGTGGCCCGCACCCAGTACACCTGCACGCCAGCGAGGGTGCCGTGCTGGGTGGCCTAGGCAGCCGCAACGCAAGCTCAAGCTGTTGGGGAAAATCATACTTTTCGTCGACTTTATGAACAATTTGTGGGTGAGCTAAAAGGGATTTTCGGGCTTAGGGTTTCGAGGCTTAGGGTTTTGGGGTTTTGAGGGCTTGGGGTTTCGATGGCTTAGGGTTTTGAGGGCTTAGGGCTTTGATGGCTTAGGCTAAACCTAAAAACCCCTAAAATCCCTAAACCCTAGAAACCCTAAAATCCCTGAACCCTTTAAACCCTAAAATCGCTAAACCCTATAAACCCCGAAATCCGTACCTAAAACCCTAAAACTCCTAAACCCTATAAACCCAACAAATCCCGAAACCCAATAAACCCGGAAAGCCCTAAACCCCATAAACCCCTGAAATCCCTAAACCCGAAAATTAAAATCCCTAATCCCTACAATCCCTAAACCCTATAATCCCTAAACCCTAAAAACCCTAAACCCTAAAATCCCTAAACCCTAAAGCCCCATTCAACCCTAACCCTTTTAATCCTCATTCCAGTTTGGACCACTTGAAAGCTTCCAGGAGATCAAAATGGAATCATTTGGCGGAGGAAAAGAGTCCTGCTCTTTTGCTGACATAGCGGGGATCACGGTCCATATCCATGACTTTGATGTTCACATGCACGAATTGAAACAAAGCTCTGCACCAAGTCTTTCTTGGTGTCACTGCTGCCCTCAGGGTCTTCAGGTCATCTTGCCTCCTTGGCTGATGTACCTGTCGACAACCAAGCCCTGGCAAACGAGGGCACAGAGCTTCCAATGCGAGAAAATTCTCTAGCATTCCAGCGACCAACCATGAGCAACCGGTACCCTGAAGGGCGCACAGAAGGATGCAGTCTCCCTGACGCAACTGGATCTTGGTAAAGCGATCATGCTGTAGGCCAACTCGCTTCAGCGGGAGAATGATTGGGCTGCTCCTTGGCAAGACCTCAGCTGAAGCCACACTCTGCAAATGCAAATGCAAATAACCTTAAGAACACAACGCAGCACAACCGCAAAGCACACCCATGTTCCGCACCTCGAAGCGAGACCCAAGGATGCGGTCCGCCTGCGGAACCACCTGGCACAAGACGGAACAAGGTCGAGCCGGAAACCCAAAAGCAAAGTCCAAGCCAACAGCAATGAGAGCATGTTGAGAGTGAGTTAGGGAGTGTGTTGCTCAGTCGTCAAACCGAATTTTGCCAGCTCGCTTCGCAAGTCCGGCCGCAGACTCGGTCGCTTTTTTGTCCAAAAAGAACAGGACCAATTTTCGGTTCCTTCTTTCATTGACAATAATGAGATGAGATGAAGACGCTTGCCATACGATTGTCACCGCTGGCACTGCGATTGAGTCCCTCTTTGTTACATAGCAGCACGTCCAACGTGAGTTTAGGAGTGTGTTGCTCTTTCATACAACCGACCTCGGCTTCCCGCCGTGCAAAAGCTCGCAGCCAAAGTCTCGTTCTCGCACTGTGCAGGGTCTCTGCTTGTCCCGTACCGTCCCCTGGCATCCCACCACCCAAGCTCGCACCGAGGAGGGACCTCCTTTGGGTAAGGGTGGGGTGGAGAGTGGTGGATGGTGAGGTGGGTCGACGTCAGGTGGTGGGTGAGGGTTGGGCATAGTGGTGGGAATGCTCGGCGGACGGTGGGTATGGGCTGGTGGGCGGTAGAGAATGGTTGGTACTGGTGGACTATGGGAGCATGGCGGAAATGGCAGGTACATGGTGGTAAGGGGGGGAATGGTGGAAATGGCGGGAATGGTAGAGAATGTGAAGTGCTGGCAGGAAAGGGGGGAATGGTGGAAATGGTGAAAATTGTGGGTTCTTGGACTGGTGGAAATGGCGCGTAGTGATGCGAATGGTGGGATTGCGGGTGATGAAAAAAGTGTGTGATGGTGAGGATGGGGATGGCAATATGGGCGGGGGTGGGGGGGGTGGTGGGGTGGGAATAAGAGAAAACCCTCAAAATCACAAACGGCCGAGAATAAACTGCCAAACCTGGGGGATAAGAACGCCAACAGCTGGAATAAGGAATGGAACCATCTGAATGCCCTGAAGAAACCCGCAGAATAAATTCCGAAGAACCCTGCTACTGTAAATCCTTGGCCGGCCCAGAAAGAATAAGGAAAAAAACCATCAGGATAAAAATGAATACGCAGCCCTTTGCCTGTTATGGTTTTGGTCATTTTTCGTGTTTGTTGCCGGTTCGACTTCGTGTTTTCCCGGCCTCTACTTCTTCGGTTTGTGCTTTTACGCAGGGTTTTCGTGTTGCGCGTCTCAGGTTGGTTGGCTTGTACTTTGTGGATCGGCCTTGAAATGCCCGATTTTTGCCTTTGGGGTTTAGGTAGGGGAGGGGGAGGGAGGGGGGGGGGGGATAATCACGGTCATGTCATGAATCTCCTGCAGCCCCAAACCCGAAACCCAGACAGCGCAAGCCCAAACCTCAAAACATCTCTCCCAAAAGTCTTTCCCAAAACCTCAAAACATCTTCCCCAAAATCCTACAGCAGTGCAAGCCCAAAGCCCTGTTCCCCCTTAAGCCGACCTCCCCCAAACCCCAAACCCAGACAGTGCAAGCCCAAAACACCCCCACAGCAGTGCAAGGCTAAAACCCTGTTGCCTCTCAAGCCGAACTCTCTCAAACTGGCTGTAGACCGTGATGTCGGGTTTTTAGAGTTTCGAGTGTAGGGTCTTGAGAGCAAACCCCCACAACGCAATAAAGTGCAAGCCCGAAACCTGAACATGTCTACTCCCAAAAAGTCAACACTCAATGACTCGAAACAAACTACTCTTCAAGAAAGTAGCTTCCGGAAGCCTCGAAAACATAAATGTGCTTAATCCGCCGCCGAATACATGCCGCAAACCTTGTAGTTTCCTCCTCGAAAACAGAACAAAACACCCATAGTTCCCCCGAGAAATAAAGTCTCCCCTTCGCAGGGGCTGCTCGCCGAAAACAAAAGGTGAAAACAAACAATAAGACCTTCCCCTGATTAAAAAACACTCTCCCCTTCGTGGGGCCTGCCCCTCGGTAGAAACACACAGCTTCCTTTTTGTGTTGTCGAGGGGGCAGCCTCCGGAGAGGCGAAACTGTGTTGCTAGGGGGCAACTCTGGGCGTGCTTTTTTCGGTTCTCGACGAGGACATTGTGTTTCTAGGGGAAACGATGTTTTTCTCCTGCTTTCGACGGGCAGGACTCTTACAGGCGTGAAACTATGGCTTTTTTCTTAGTTTTTCAACTTGCAGGAAGCTGTGTTTCGAGGGGGGGGTGCCCCACGAAGGCGAAACTGTTTTTCTAGAGGGAAACTGTGGGTGTTTTTGTTCTTCTTTTTGCTGTCTTTGATGGGCGAAGCGCCAATAGCTTCCCCTCATTGTCGAGTTGACCTCTTCTTCTTCGACTTTTCCTCTTTCTTTTGTTCTCCATGTGTCGACTTTGTCACGGTATTTCTTTGATCTGCACATCTCTCCTTCCGAGGCTCCCCGCCCCCTGGGCTTCTGCTCGCAACCGAGTGCGGCTGACCGCGACGTCGATCCCCGCGTACCTTGGACAACGGGCTGCCCGCTTGGACTCTCTTTTGTGTGCTGTTGTCGTGCGGACTGTGTGTGTGTGTACGCACGGGGGAGGGGGGGGGGGGGGGGGG